TATTAACCATTATTCTTATTTTTATGCAGGTATGAACGTGAACCAAAGAGAACTGAACGAACACATCGAATTCGAACCGAACACGTACTACGCAGCTTTTAGCGCTGAGCTGGAGGCTAGTGCTTACCCCATGTGGGCATTAGTTACGCACCTCACCGATGAAAGTACTGCGCCGCTCACTAGGCGAGTGCTTAGCGCGTGCTTGAGAGAATGGTACGAATGGTTGGACGTCACGAACTATAGAGGACCCATAGTGGTGAGTATCTGTCGTTGAATAAAAAAAAAGAAATGAGGATCATATCTCTAAAATATATTATAAGTATAGACAAATCCAAGTGTCATAAACAATCATTATTTCATAAACTGACAGATTATTAATATTTTAATCTAATATCCGACACCAGAAGTGGGATTTTAACCGTAAAAATACTGTTTATCCCAATTTGCTTGACTTTTTTCTTGACAAAGATTTTTCTGTGATTATTTCTTGTTTATTATACAATAAATCGTTTCATGCAATGTGTATACCGTGCTGGCAACTGTTACTTTTGGGTCGGCATTTACATGTGTGGAAGTAAATCGCATAGGGATATTATTAAGTTGGAGTGAGAGAAATGCGACGGTGTGTTGTTGCGGCGTTGCCGGTACGCCTTTCCCTATCAAGTAAAGTAAAATCACGATCGCAAACCGCTTATTTTTAAAAGATTTTTTTTTCAAGAGATAACTAGATAAAATCTTTTTAACACATAACAGGCCATAACTCAAGAACCACATTAGATATTGAAACGTTTTTTTATTTTCAAGATCGGATATTTTACAATATGTTTACATCAGAAAAATTCGATAGGGTTGTTTTTTGCATTGAAAAATTGTAAACAACCCATCCATTTACTTTGAGAGCATAGCAATTTTTAGCAATCGTGTAATTTTAGAAAATACAGCAGAAATATTAACAAAGTTCTTGAAAAAACTACAATCTATTATTTCTAATAGGTTTCGAGATATCGATTTTTGAATTCAGAGTTCTAATAGCGCGACCACTATCGAACACCCACTCAATTCCACTTATTTTTACCAAAAATGCAAGTGTTTCTAGCCTGCACTTAAAAAAATTCAAGCTATAGGGAAATTTACAACGACTTGTTAATAAATAAAAAATTAAGTATCACATAAATCGTGAAGCTAAACGCATGACGTACACCTTTCCCTAGAACTTTAAGTACCGACAGAGGTATTGATTGGGTCGACCGGTCAACTGCGACAAATCTGCTATATCCCCTTCCACGTCTCTTAGCGATGTGCACAGTTTCTCGGTTTATTTCATACGTTTGGCAACGTGTTTACCGTCCTCTCTTTGTTCAGTACATTATAAACGCATTGTACTCTTCTTACATACGGAAATCTCGACCCAAGACTAACCTTTGCCAGCCCTTAGTATTAGTATAGATTACATAAATGTGACTGATGGTTTTTCTTAGAGTCAGTAGTTATAAGGCAGTATTGAATAATTTCCTCTCTTTTTTTAGGAGGATAGTATGCAGGTTTCGTTTCACCTGCCATTGCACAGATATTTGGCTGTATTCCTGTGTCAAGGTGTGGCTAAACAAGGCATTAGAGTCGAGGAAGTGTTACCTTCGTCAGACCCTATACTGACCTTGCTGATTATGCACCCTCTTAGAGTACAGGTGAGTTTTTTTTTGAAAATTTTGGTGGTTGTTTTGATTTTCTATTTATTTTTATTGATAAAAGGTTTAAAATTTGTACCGCGTCCTTAGATCGTCGCTTCTCTATGATTTAGTAATTCTATGGTATTATGTTGCTGAATATGCAACCAACAATACACTTGAGTCCATTTCACTAGTCTGAAAAAGTAGCAAAATAAGCGTTCGGCATTTAACGTTTTATACGTTATAACGTTTTTTTTTAATATTTTTTTTTTACCAACATGGCAAATATAAAATCCCTCTGTTAAAAAAGTTACTGATATTCTTTAAATTGAGTGCCTGAACGAATCAGATAGGTAACTCTTTACTTTCGTGAAATAGAAAAGGAAAATAATAAAACAAGTGACAGTTCTTCCTCTTCTTGCAAAAATCAACTCGAAATGACATAATTGTCAAAAGTAAAATGTCGTCAGCTTTTGACATTTCTAAATATCAGACCAATGCCGTCTCTAATAGAACAGCCTCGGAGATTTATGACGTCACGCTAGTTAGATGCTATGGATTAATAAATATGTTGTAGAATACATGGAAAACATAATTATTCCTCTATTTTTGGTTTGTAAAACAACTTTAATTTAATTATTATTATTAATTTAATTAATTTAAATTAAAACAACTTTCGTTGCACGTCATCAATGACACCATGCGTCGTCTTATGGAGTTTGCTGGTCGTCGTATTATGATGTGCAACCAAAGTTATTTTAATTTTCCCAATATGTAAAATTATTCGAAAATTTATAATTTTCTTGGGATTTAGGTTCGGGAAAAACGCTGATTAAGTTTTCATTTGGTTTTTCATTTTTTTCATTTGGTTTCGGCTAACATTATAGCCTTCATCAGTGTTGTGTCATATGAAAAAAATAGCGTCGAATATAATCCAAAGGATTACATATAAAATATACTAAATTATACAGGGTTGTTCACCACATACGACACGGAGTATTGTAGCTAAACGATTAGATTTTTACAAATTGTAAGTTTTGTGTTTGTTGAAGGACTATTAGAGCTACAATTTAAAAATATTTTTACAAGATACAGAGTGTCCCAAATAAATAAAAAATATCAAAGTTGTATTTTTTCAAATGGAACACCCTGTATATTATTACATTTTTAGTTTCTACGATTAAAATAAAGGTAAATTTGATTAAGGTTTATTATACTTAAACCTTACCGTTTTTGAAATATTTTCAATTTTGTGAAATTGCAGTAAAAATTTTAAAGCTTCAGAGAACCAAAGGGTATCAATGTTTTTAATACTAAATATTTAATGAAGTTTATTTATTGATCAGTTATTGTGTTGCAATAATAAAAGTAATACTACCTTATAGAGAGTGTCTAAAAATTTATTTTAAATAATTATTAGCTTCAAACGCCAATAACTTCTTTAATTTAAATGGAATGCCCTGTATATTTTAGGAGAGTCAGATGCACAATTAAATTGTCTATCAAATTGTATTATACCATTTTTACCTATCCCTTCAAGTTTTCAAACGATAATAACAATAGCAAAACGATAATATTACTAGCTCATTTGTATGCAAAAAGAAAACTATTTAAATCTTTATAAAAGAGTATACCATTAATTAAATATAACATCATTATTTCCGCCCATATACTAATTAATTACATACTTAATTGTGTTCGTTAATAAATTATTATAAATAAATGTGGATTTGAATCAGAAATCAATATAATAATAAGTTATCAAATTAAAGTCTCTGTTGTTATAAATAAGCATTTATTAAATATGAAATATCATTTTTAAGGTGTTACTTTTTATCACACTGTCTAATGCCCGTACAAAATTCAGTTTTTTAGTATTTGGAGCAATTATTATTAATCAACGCAAACAGTCAGTTAATGTAGTTTGAATACTGGCATCATATTAATTGATCCTCTTTAACAAATATTTAAACAGTTTTTTTTTTATTTTTTAATGAAATAAACGAATTATATCGACAATATTAGTATCTATACTCTTTAAAAATTTGGTACATCTTTAAAAATAATCTAAAATGTCAATAGTCCATGGGTATATTGATAAATAAGTTCTAAATTACAAGAAAATGCATTTTCTACGGAAACTTAAAGAGATAGGTAAAAAACGGTATAATATAATTTGATAGACAATTAAATTGTGCATCTGATTCTCGTAAAATATACAGGGTGTTCCATTTAAATTAAACAAGTTATTGCCGTTTGAAGCTAATAATTATTTAAAATAATTTTTTAGACACTCTGTATAAGGTAGTATTATTTTTATTATTGCAACACAACAACTGATCAGTAAATAAACTTCAGTAAATATTTAGTATTAGAAACTTTGATACCCTTGGAGAAATGAAGCCTTAAAATTTTTACTGCAATTTCACAAAATTGAAAATATTTCAAAAACGGTAAGGTTTAAGTATAATAAATCTTAATCAAATTTACCTTTATTTTAATCGTAGAAACTAAAAATGTAATAATATACAGGGTGTTGCATTTAAAAAAATACAACTTTGATATTTTTTACTTATTTGGGACACTCTGTATCTTGTAAAATTATTTTTAAATTGTACATCTAATAGTCCTTCATCGAACCCAAAACTTACAATTTGTAAAAATCTCATCGTTTAGCTACAATACTCCGTGTCGTATGTTAGTGAACAACTCTGTATATTTCCTTCGGCCACACACTTAACGTTAAAATTAAACAAGCAATTAAAAAAATTTATAGCTCTGTGCTATAGCAAGAGTATAAAAACGTTATTTATGAAGATGTATTAAATGAAACTACTTTACTTATCATAATTATGTTTTTGTTAACTATCATAATTATTGAAATGAGATAAACTTATGAACTATTGAATATTTGATACAGTCTTAAGGAGAACATATTACATAAATTACAAAAAAATACAAATGTGCTGAATTGATATAATATTGATATTTTTCTTATTGATTTTAAAAATTGTAAAAAATATCAGGAGTATAATAACGTTCAGTATTTTCACTGATTTTCTTGACCCTAGTTGACTTCTATCTCATAAGGCGAGTTAGTTCTGAAGTCGTACTTTGGAAATCTAACAAGCAATAGCTTGCTAAAGTCGTACGAGTGTATTGTGGGTGCGATGAACCCTCCGTAACCCTTCGTACCTCGGTACTGTACCCCTACGCCCTTCAAAGGCACCGCTGGGTCGTTGTAGACTGGTTGGATGTCGATAAAGGGTATGGTGGTCTGGGCTGCGTCAGCTTCGAAGCCTGTATGAGTGAACTCGACGTATGCATTGTTGCCTATGTCCACTTCAGTGTTTTTGGCCAGTGTTGGGATGTCTGCATTCGAACTTACCGACACCTTGTTTCTATAAAATTAAAAAAAAATAACTTCTTTCAAACTAATTTTCCTATATTTGTAATCGCCATGAATTTTATTTGAATTGATTTTTTCATTTCCGAGTGTATTTTTATGCTGTTTCTTGTTTATATTATTCGTTTTTTGCAAAGTGTTTAAATCTGGAAAGATATTGTGATAGGACTGGAATTATAGGGAATTATTGTGAATTTTCGCAAGGAGGTTCAAAAATAGTTATTTTTTACTTGTGCAACTTGCTGTCGTTCATGTATGCCTACATCTAGTACGACCAAAAAGATCCATATATTCATATTCAAAATCGATGACTTGACCAAAATCGTCAATTTTCATGACTATAATGTACGGAAAAAAGTCGAAAAATTGACTATTTTTTACTCGATTTCGGCGAGCTTGGAAACATAGTAAACAGAGTGATAAAATAATAAAAATTTCGGGATTTGTTCGAAATTTTATGTACTTTTAGAATATGTAAGTCTTGAAAGAGTAAAATTCTTTGGTTTTATTATAAATTCGATTTTTTCAATGCTTGTTTTTGAACAATTTTTGAAAATATTTCAAAGTTCGTATATATCTAGTACCATACTCGTACGACCAAAAAGAACTATATTTTCGAATTCTACGTCTTTTAATTAGTTAATAATAACAGTAGTTTCACCAAATCGGTGACTTGACCAAAGTCAACAATTTTCATGACTATATTATGTATGGAAAAAAGTTGAAAAATTGACTATTTTTGCCTATTTTTTAGAAACATAGTAATAAAATTATGAAAATTTCAGGATCTGTTCAAAATTTTATGTACTTTTAGAATAAGTATATAAACCTTGAAAGGTTTAAATGCTTTGGTTTTATTAGAAACTTGATTTTCTCAACCCTTGTTTTTGAACAATTTTTGAAAATGTTTGAAAGTTCGCCTACATCTAGTACCGTACTCGTACGACCAAAAGAACTATATTTTCGAATTCTACGTCTTTTAATTAAATAACAGTAGTTTCACCAAATCGGTGACTTGACCAAAATCGACAATTTTCATGACTATATATGTATGGAAAAAAGTTGAAAAATTGACTATTTTTGCCTATTTTTTAGAAACATAGTAATAAAATTATGAAAATTTCAGGATTTGTTCAAAATTTTATGTACTTTTAGAATATATAAACCTTGAAAGGTTTAAATGCTTTGGTTTTATTAGAAACTTGATTTTCTCAACCCTTGTTTTTGAACAATTTTTGAAAATATTTGAAAGTTCGGATATACCTAGTACCGTACTCGTACGACCAAAAAGAACTATATTTTCGAATTCTACGTCTTTTAATTAATAATAACAGTAGTTTCATCAAATCGGTGACTTGACCAAAACCGACAATTTTCATGACTAGATTATGTATGGAAAAAAGTTGAAAAATTGACTATTTTTGCCTATTTTTTAGAAACATAGTAATAAAATTATGAAAATTTCAGGATTTGTTCAAAATTTTATGTACTTTTAGAATATATAAACCTTGAAAGGTTTAAATGCTTTGGTTTTATTAGAAACTTGATTTTCTCAACCCTTGTTTTTGAACAATTTTTGAAAATATTTGAAAGTTCGGATATACCTAGTACCGTACTCGTACGACCAAAAAGAACTATATTTTCGAATTCTACGTCTTTTAATTAATAATAACAGTAGTTTCATCAAATCGGTGACTTGACCAAAACCGACAATTTTCATGACTATATTATGTATGGAAAAAGTTGAAAAATACTATTTTGCCTATTTTTAGAAACATAGTAATAAAATTATGAAAATTTCAGGAGTTGTTCAAAATTTTATGTACTTTTAGAATATATAAACCTTGAAAGGTTTAAATGCTTTGGTTTTATTAGAAACTTGATTTTCTCAACCCTTGTTTTTGAACAATTTTTGAAAATATTTGAAAGTTCGCCTATACCTAGTACCGTACTCGTACGACCAAAAGAACTATATTTTCGAATTCTACGTCTTTTAATTAGTTAATAATAACAGTAGTTTCATCAAATCGGTGACTTGACCAAAATCGACAATTTTCATGACTATATTATGTATGGAAAAAGTTGAAAAATTGACTATTTTTGCCTATTTTTTAGAAACATAGTAATAAAATTATGAAAATTTCAGGATTTGTTCAAAATTTTATGTACTTTTAGAATATATAAACCTTGAAAGGTTTAAATGCTTTGGTTTTATTAGAAACTTGATTTTCTCAACCCTTGTTTTTGAACAATTTTTGAAAATATTTGGAAGTTCGCATATATCTAGTACCGTACTCGTACGACCAAAGAGAACTATATTTTTTCGAATTCTACGCCTTTTAATTAGTTAATAATAACAGTAGTTTCATCAAATCGGTGACTTGACCAAAATCGACAATTTTCATGACTATATTATGTATGGAAAAAAAGTTGAAAAATTGACTATTTTTGCCTATTTTTAGAAACATAGTAATAAAATTATGAAAATTTCAGGATTTGTTCAAAATTTTATGTACTTTTAGAATAAATAAACCTTGAAAGGTTTAAATGCTTTGGTTTTATTAGAAACTTGATTTTCTCAACCCTTGTTTTTGAACAATTTTTGAAAATGTTTGAAAGTTCGCCTACATCTAGTACCGTACTCGTACCACCAAAAAGGACTATATTTTCAAACTCTACGTCTTTTAATTAGTTAATAATAACAGTAATTTCACCAAATCCGTGACTTGACCAAAATCGACAATTTTCATGACTATATTATGTATGGAAAAAAGTTGAAAAATTGACTATTTTTGCCTATTTTTTAGAAACATAGTAATAAAATTATGAAAATTTCAGGATTTGTTCAAAATTTTATGTACTTTTAGAATATATAAACCTTGAAAGGTTTAAATGCTTTGGTTTTATTAGAAACTTGATTTTCTCAACCCTTGTTTTTGAACAATTTTTGAAAATATTTGAAAGTTCGCATATACCTAGTACCGTACTCGTACGACCAAAAAGAACTATATTTTTGAATTCTACGTCTTTTAATTAGTTAATAATAACAGTAGTTTCATCAAATCGGTGACTTGACCAAAATCGACAATTTTCATGACTATATTATGTATGGAAAAAAGTTGAAAAATTGACTATTTTTGCCTATTTTTTAGAAACATAGTAATAAAATTATGAAAATTTCAGGATTTGTTCAAAGTTTTATGTACTTTTAGAATTAATAAACCTTGAAAGGTTTAAATGCTTTGGTTTTATTAGAAACTTGATTTTCTCAACCCTTGTTTTTGAACAATTTTGAAAATATTTGAAAGTTCGCATATACCTAGTACCGTACTCGTACGACCAAAAAGAACTATATTTTCGAACTCTACGTCTTTTAATTAGTTAATAATAACAGTAGTTTCATCAAATCGGTGACTTGACCAAAACCGACAATTTTCATGACTATATTATGTATGGAAAAAAGTTGAAAAATTGACTATTTTTGCCTATTTTTTAGAAACATAGTAATAAAATTATGAAAATTTCAGGATTTGTTCAAAGTTTTATGTACTTTTTAGAATATATAAAACCTTGAAAGGTTTAAATGCTTTTGGTTTTATTAGAAACTTGATTTTCTCAACCCTTGTTTTTGAACAATTTTGAAAATATTTGAAAGTTCGCATATACCTAGTACCGTACTCGTACGACCAAAAAGAACTATATTTTTGAATTCTACGTCTTTTAATTGGTTAATAATAACAGTAGTTTTATCAAATCGATGACTTGACCAAAATCGACAATTTTTATGATTAAAAAAAATGACTTGAAAAATTGACTATTTTTGCCTATTTTTTAGAAACATAGTAATAAAATTATGAAAATTTCAGGATTTGTTCAAAATTTTATGTACTTTTAGAATATATAAACCTTGAAAGGTTTAAATGCTTTGGTTTTATTAAAAACTTGATTTTCTCAACCCTTGTTTTTGAACAATTTTTGAAAATATTTGAAAATTCGCATATACCTAGTACCGTACTCGTACGACCAAAAAGAACTATATTTTTGAATTCTACGTCTTTTAATTAGTTAATAATAACAGTAGTTTCATCAAATCGGTGACTTGACCAAAATCGACAATTTTCATGACTATATTATGTATGGAAAAAAGTTGAAAAATTGACTATTTTTGCCTATTTTTTAGAAACATAGTAATAAAATTATGAAAATTTCAGGATTTGTTCAAAATTTTATGTACTTTTAGAATATATAAACCTTGAAAGGTTTAAATGCTTTGGTTTTATTAGAAACTTGATTTTCTCAACCCTTGTTTTTGAACAATTTTTGAAAATATTTGAAAGTTCGCATATACCTAGTACCGTACTCGTACGACCAAAAAGAACTATATTTTCGAATTCTACGTTTTTTAATTAGTTAATAATAACAGTAGTTTTATCAAATCGATGACTTGACCAAAATCGACAATTTTCATGACTATATTATGTATGGAAAAAAGTTGAAAAATTGACTATTTTTGCCTATTTTTTTAGAAACATAGTAATAAAATTATGAAAATTTCAGGATTTGTTCAAAATTTTATGTACTTTTAGAATATATAAACCTTGAAAGGTTTAAAATGCTTTGGTTTTATTAGAAACTTGATTTTCTCAACCCTTGTTTTTGAACAATTTTTGAAAATATTTGAAAGTTCGCATATACCTAGTACCGTACTCGTACGACCAAAAAGAACTATATTTTTGAATTATACGTCTTTTAATTAGTTAATAATAACAGTAGTTTCATCAAATCGGTGACTTGACCAAAATCGACAATTTTCATGACTATATTATGTAAGGAAAAAAGTTGAAAAATTGACTATTTTTGCCTATTTTTTAGAAACATAGTAATAAAATTATGAAAATTTCAGGATTTGTTCAAAATTTTATGTACTTTTAGAATATATAAACCTTGAAAGGTTTAAATGCTTTGGTTTTATTAGAAACTTGATTTTCTCAACCCTTGTTTTTGAACAATTTTTGAAAATGTTTGAAAGTTCGCCTACATCTAGTACCGTACTCGTACCACCAAAAAGGACTATATTTTCAAATTCTACGTCTTTTAATTAGTTAATAACAGTAGTTTCAAAAAATCCGTATCGACAATTTTCATGACTATTATGTATGGAAAAAAGTTGAAAATTGACAATTTTTGATAGAAATGTATTAAACAGAGTGATAAAAGTACTTACACTCCACCAGTTGCTTTATACACATAATTGTCAGCACTTTTTAGTACCAAACCTGCATTCCAATCAACAGGGTTAATATGTATTTGCAGTCTCAATTTACTATCAACAACCTGAAATTTGACACCTAAAAAACACCAATTTAAAGTAAATATTCATATTTTTCTCAGAGAAATAATTTTAATATAGAATTTTAAACGTTACCAGTAACTACATAGTTCAGTTTGTCAATTTTTACATCATCCAGTGCCATAGATCTTTTCTCGTATGACATCATGTAGAAATCTCTACCTTCAAAAACGCCGGTGTCTGTTATTTTGTAGCTATTGACAGGTACCCAGTGAACTGTCGATTGATTGATGTATCCGAAGGGCAACAGTTGCCCTTCCTGTATTTGAATATGCATTATTCTGTCAATTTTGACAAATCTCACACCTGTGACAACCCTGGAATAAAAATCGAAATTTATTACGTTCAAACGCTAGTCCAGGCTTTCGGACAGAGCTACATATTATTACTCAGAGTAATAATATGGTATAATAAATTTAAAGGCAGTGTGACCATATATTAAGGCCCTATTCCTTTCTTAGGAATTAAAAACCCCTGTAAAACCGTCTCATATACTGGCTTACAGCACTGAGACTGTATGGTGATTTATAACTCAAAAGAGGGGGACACAAAATACAATCTTATAAACTGGTTTTGGGTAATATGATATGGTTTATTTTGATGACAGATTACCTGTTCTTTTTGGTGTCTGATAGGACAGGTCTCAAGTTGATGAATCTGTCAGAATTGATGTTGGGGTCGTCGCAAAGGCACATACAGTAGGAACAGTGAAAGAACCATCGGTACCAACTGTCAACTGGTTTCTTCCAGCAACTTGACTGCTTTCCGTAGTACTTGCCGCTCTCGAATTTTATAAAATTGTATCTTCTGCTGCGTGTTTTCTGAAAAAAATACGCATAAGGTGGCTATTCTGATTTTAATTATTGAATAAATGTATTAAAAAATATAAGTTAGGTTAATACGTGCTCGCAATGACTAAAGAATGATCTCGTGATAATCTACCCCGATGAAAAAAAAACTTGGGGCAACACTGGGTAACGATCTATGCCATACCGCGGCTAAGAAAATAATTATAATAAACTTGCTTTGCTTTTAACTTGCGTTGAATTGCTTTGAACTTGCGTTTTTTCAAAAAATTTAAATACGATAGTATGTGTTATTTTAGCTGATAGTAAAGAGTAGTAAAAGCTTAGAAAGTCAGCGAAAACCGCATTTTGATATTTTCTTTCAAACCAAAGATATTAGCAAAATTATAATAAATACCAAAAAATAAGTCCTTAATTACCTTATTTTTACAATACAGTATCAGTAGCCTTCTTGATTAGGCCCATTCTAACAAAAAAATAAGATAGAAACAGTTAGTTTATTTTAAAATCGACGAAATACCAGAATACCATAATACCAGATGTATTAATATCTTAATTATACATTTGGTATTATGATATTCTGGTATATTGTCGATTTTAAAATAAACTAACTGTTTCTATCGTATTTTGAAGTTAGAATGCTACTTGTTAAGCTTTTACTACTCTTTGCTGTCAGCTAAAATTACGTATACAATTGCATTTTTTTTGAAAAAACGCGCAATGTTTGTTAAATTGTAAGACAACGCCCCCTAGCGTCTACGTTCAAAAGCTTATTTATTTTTTTCCGCAGCCGCTACAGCTAATACATTCCGAGATACAGCCGAGAGCTATTCTTAGTGGGACACCCTGTACATATTCTATGAGTTTACCTAACGATTAAAATTAATTTAAAAATTAATCCCCAATATGAATAACGAATAAATCATTTAAACAAAAACAGGCCACAGACCACACAAAACAAATTGTTGCTTAGTAGTAGTCAGAGATATAGATGTAGTAGTATTTTGGTTTAATGGCCACAGTGATAGAATTATCGTTTTTAATAAAAATTAAAAAAAAAACATAAAATTATAAAGCTAGAATAGTATACGGTTTTATATTAACTCTAATTTTTTCGAAGTTTGTAAAAAGCATTCATAAAAAATATATATCCTTCAAATCCCTCAATTTGCCTCAATAGCTGTTAGTAAGAAGTTTTATTTCAAATATGCGCAAATAGTGCACATCCAATTTTTTTTTCATTTTTTTACTTACAGATGTGCAAATTTCCATGTGGCTTTCGATGAAGTTACAGCCGAAAATTTTGCCGTTGCACTTCTCCATATTCGTGCAGTAATCGCTGTCTTCATCGTAACAACCGTAATTTTTGCTCGTGTAGTAAGCTGCGCAGTTCTTGGTACATGTACCTCGCGGGTTCATGTCAACTTCATTCTGCACGTGCCCTTGAAGCAGTCTAGTGAATTCGTCGTATGTTTCTCCTAAAAAGACAGAGCAATATTTTATGTTTGCTATTTTTTTTTCGGTAGTAACTCACCTAAACTGTGGTATTTTGGGTCACACCTCCATAGTTTATCAGTTGCTAATTCCATGGCACCTCGAAAGACTGTCATGGTTTCGTTAACTCGTCTTTCAAAATTGTTCCTGATTATTATTGCTTCGTCAGTGTAATTCCCTAGGAAAAAGTTATGTTTAAATAAAATTACTAAATCAAAACATTTAAATCTATAGTTTTAGGTGTAAAGACTGTTCAGCCATCGTTCATCGTTACGTCATCATTATTTGCCAAATACGAGTTTTAGGGTGTGTCTGAGATCAGTTCGTATTGTTTAGAATATTTTAAGTACGTTCCGAAATTATTGATTGAGCGAGTTCCGGTTTTTTTTTCGGCCTTTATTCATTTTTTCTTCAACTCTTACGATCCCTCTAATTCCAATCCTTTGAACTGTTGAAATTCATATTTTTAAAGCATCAACAAATGGCTATATTATTTAAAAATGGTATCAATTTTTATTTGATATAGGAATATTACACCTTCGCATTGTACTTACTTCATATACGGCGTACACGGGCAAAAGTGTTCTACAGCAGCGTCTCTTTCGCGAGAAAAATTATTTATAAGCTTAGCAATAAGATCATGTTCATTTTATTTAAATCTTTGAGGTATTTTTGCAATAAAAAAATTTGAATTTTGTTTTACAGGAACAAATTTTAGTTTTGACATATATCGATGCCCGTAATTACAATCATAACCTTAAATCCAATGACAATGACAATTACAAAGAATATGCAGTAATTTACAAAATGCCGTAATGACCTCACCGGTCTCTTTAATCTGGTTGGCAAGTGATTGAGACGGTTCGACAAAAAATATATGACGTCACGTTAAACGATGGCTGAACATTCTATACCTTTTCCTCCTTGTTCAACTTGTCTCATCAGATTAACGAATTGTAGCATCACGTAACTTTTAAGGCCATTCAAAGCTACAGCATTGTACAAATTGTAGTACACCTGTCTCTGAGACTGGAACATGTCTTTGCAGTAGTAGTCGTCTTCAAGGAACTACAATATATTTTTTTCGTAATATTTTATTATTATACCGGGCGTTTTTAAAAGTGTCTCCGCCCCACTTTTTATTTTTTCAGATAAAAAAATGAGATTTGAGAAGATGCACCAGGTCTTGTAAAATTGTTTCCATTACTTTTCTTCGGGGCATTTTTATTCTAATTTGTTCATCTGATGTTAATTATCAAGAAACACGCGTCGTTTTTTGCTAAAAGTGGTTTTTATTGAGTTTTATCCCTAATTTTCTTTATAGTATACGAAGCTGATGCACCAGGTCTTGTAAAATTGTTTCTATTACTTTTCTTCGGGGCATTTTTATTCTAATTTGTTTATCTGATGTTAATTATCAAGAAACACGCGTCGTTTTTTGCTAAAAGTGTTTTTATTGAGTTTTATCCCTAATTTTTCTTTATAGTATACGAAGCTGATGCACCAGGTCTTGTAAAATTGTTTCTATTACTTTTCTTCGGGGCATTTTTATTCTAATTTGTTTATCTGATGTTAATTATCAAGAAACACGCGTCGTTTTTAGCTAAAAGTGGTTTTTATTGAGTTTTATCCCTAATTTTCTTTATAGTATACGAAGCTGATGCACCAGGTCTTGTAAAATTGTTTCTATTACTTTTCTTCGGGGCATTTTTATTCTAATTTGTTTATCTGATGTTAATTATCAAGAAACACGCGTCGTTTTTTGCTAAATGTGGTTTTTATTGAGTTTTATCCCTAATTTTCTTTATAGTATACGAAGCTGATGCACCAGGTCTTGTAAAATTGTTTCTATTACTTTTCTTCGGGGCATTTTTATTCTAATTTGTTTATCTGATGTTAATTATCAAGAAACACGCGTCGTTTTTTGCTAAAAGTGGTTTTTATTGAGTTTTATCCCTAATTTTCTTTATAGTATACGAAGCTGATGCACCAGGTCTTGTAAAATTGTTTCTATTACTTTTCTTCGGGGCATTTTTATTCTAATTTGTTTATCTGATGTTAATTATCAAGAAACACGCGTCGTTTTTTGCTAAAAGTGGTTTTTATTGAGTTTTATCCCTAATTTTCTTTATATAGTATACGAAGCTGATGCACCAGGTCTTGTAAAATTGTTTCTATTACTTTTCTTCGGGGCATTTTTATTCTAATTTGTTTATCTGATGTTAATTATCAAGAAACACGCGTCGTTTTTTGCTAAAAGTGGTTTTTATTGAGTTTTATCCCTAATTTTCTTTATAGTATACGAAGCTGATGCACCAGGTCTTGTAAAATTGTTTCTATTACTTTTCTTCGGGGCATTTTTATTCTAATTTGTTTATCTGATGTTAATTATCAAGAAACACGCGTCGTTTTTTGCTAAAAGTGGTTTTTATTGAGTTTTATCCCTAATTTTCTTTATAGTATACGAAGCTGATGCACCAGGTCTTGTAAAATTGTTTCTATTACTTTTCTTCGGGGCATTTTTATTCTAATTTGTTTATCTGATGTTAATTATCAAGAAACACGCGTCGTTTTTTTGCTAAAAAGTGGTTTTTATTGAGCTTTATCCCTAATTTTCTTTATAGTATACGAAGCTGATGCACCAGGTCTTGTAAAATTGTTTCTATTACTTTTCTTCGGGGCATTTTTATTCTAATTTGTTTATCTGATGTTAATTATCAAGAAACACGCGTCGTTTTTTGCTAAAAGTGGTTTTATTGAGTTTTATCCCTAATTTTCTTTATAGTATACGAAGCTGATGCACCAGGTCTTGTAAAATTGTTTCTATTACTTTTCTTCGGGGCATTTTTATTCTAATTTGTTTATCTGATGTTAATTATCAAGAAACACGCGTCGTTTTTTTGCTAAAAGTGGTTTTTTATTGAGTTTTATCCCTAATTTTCTTTATAGTATACGAAGCTGATGCACCAGGTCTTGTAAAATTGTTTCTATTACTTTTCTTCGGGGCATTTTTATTCTAATTTGTTTATCTGATGTTAATTATCAAGAAACACGCGTCGTTTTTAGCTAAAAGTGGTTTTTATTGAGTTTTATCCCTAATTTTCTTTATAGTATACGAAGCTGATGCACCAGGTCTTGTAAAATTGTTTCTATTACTTTTCTTCGGGGCATTTTTATTCTAATTTGTTTATCTGATGTTAATTATCAAGAAACACGCGTCGTTTTTTGCTAAAAGTGGTTTTTATTGAGTTTTATCCTAATTTTCTTTATAGTATACGAAGCTGATGCACCAGGTCTTGTAAAATTGTTTCTATTACTTTTCTTCGGGGCATTTTTATTCTAATTTGTTTATCTGATGTTAATTATCAAGAAACACGCGTCGTTTTTTGCTAAAAGTGGTTTTTATTGAGGTTTATCCCTAATTTTCTTTATAGTATACGAAGCTGATGCACCAGGTCTTGTAAAATTGTTTCTATTACTTTTCTTCGGGGCATTTTTATTCTAATTTGTTTATCTGATGTTAATTATCAAGAAACACGCGTCGTTTTTTGCTAAAAGTGGTTTTTATTGAGTTTTATCCCTAATTTTCTTTATAGTATACGAAGCTGATGCACCCTGTCTTGTAAAATTGTTTCTATTACTTTTCTTCGGGGCATTTTTATTCTAATTTGTTTATCTGATGTTAACACGCGTCGTTTTTTTATTAAAAGTGGTTTTTATTGAGTTTTATCTCTATTTTTTTTTATTCTTTCAAATATGCGCGCATAGTGCACACCCAATTTTTTTTTGAAAAAATAAGAAAGTTATGAAGGTAACCATCCAGTATCTCTAAACCTATTCTTACTTCGAATATTTTCAGAATCATGTTCTCGCTACCAAACGTCAGGTCGTAGACGTTATGAACTGTCACATTAGCACCCATTTTTTTGTTTGAGATATCCCTGATGATTTCATCAGAGTCCACCATGTTCTCTATGATTCTTTTGTCGCCCAAAGTGGCATTTTTTTGATCTTGCAAATACTGCCTGAATTTTTCGTACAGATTTTCGGTCTGTCTCAATTCTGGATAGAGCAGTATGAAGGAATGGATATGCTTGATAGGGTTTAGGCCCAGTAGAATATCTTCAGGCATCTGGGAATTTTAAATCGGATTATTTTTTTATGAAATGAAATCTGCATGCGCTGAAATTGTTGCTGAAACGATTTCAAATTAATGTTCATACATATTGTCTTTTTTTTATTAAATCACATGTTATACAGGATGTTTTATAAATAAATGGATGATATACAGGATGTTTTAAACATATTCTTTAAACTGTAATACTACCTTTAAAAATATTCGAACTGTACAAACCTGTTTAATTCTTTCATCGTATTCACTAAACTTGTTCACCAAATACAACTCCGAATCACCGAGATCGATATTCGGTGTTTCCCACAGCACGTACTTCCACAATTCTTCTTCCATATTCAGGAATTCCATTCTTAGTCTGTCCACCAAAATTACATCGTTACAAACAATCGCGCCCGCGAGAAGAAATAATGAAATTATTCGAAACATTTTAAATTGTGTGTGTACCATCACAGTTCCGAAAAAGAACTGGATATCTTAAACAGGCAGCAGTCGTACCGATTGTACTATCAGAACGCCTTGTTTACACTCTTTTTTTTCTCTTTCATGAACATCGTTGTGGGCGATTGATAAACTTTGGCTAGTTGATAAGACGCTGATATCGAGGTTCTTGTCGCTTTGATGGAAAACCCTAGACCATGTAAACATTCATAGAAACAGCTGCACGCCAAATTTTTTACTTTATTCGATAGAAAATGACACAAGTTCAATCTAGAGTGCCATGGCTGTGTCAAAAACAGTAACTTTTAATCAAGGAGCCTTGGAAAAATAGAAAAACACCTTGAAAAGCACACATTACACATTACTTTGAATACCTTTCTGAATGAATAAATGTTGAGAATTATTGTCTCTTACCGCCACTTTACGAACTACTTTCAATCTAAGAAAATACATGTTTCACTCAACAATTTTAAATACGTGTTTTGTTTTTTCGCTATTTTTTCGATGTATTTCGACAATTCCGTCGACAGCCCAACCGTCGGCGCATCACTGGTTGGTAACTGCTCTTTTGTCGCGCCGGCGTGTCGAGCTTGCGTCATGCGAGGTTGCCGTAGTTTCAACAATTTCAAATTCAAGACACTCGAAGCAATCAAATTCTTATTAAATTTTAAAAATAAAACAGAAAAACATGAAAGGAAACAAACAAAACACAAATGAATTGATTATTGATAAGGCCACAAAAAAGAAATTTCTAAAATGTTATCGTAATTCATAATTCAATATATCGAAAACAGCCCGACGAATAATCAATTCATTTTTGTTTTGTTTGTTTCCTTTCATGTTTCTCTGTTTTATTTTTAAAATTTAATACGAATTTGATTGAATGTCTTGAATTTGAAATTGTTGTAACTACGGCAACGTTGCTTAACATCGTCGTCCGACGCAAGCCCGCCACGACGGCGCGGCTCAAAGGACCAGTTCACACGTGGCACTCTTGGCCGACGCACTACGGTTGGGCTGTCGAAATACATCGAAAAAATAGCGAAAAAACAAAATACGTATTTAAAATTGTTGAGTGAAACATGTATTTTCTTGGATTGAAAGTAGTTCGTAAAGTGGCGATAAAAGACGGTATTCAAAGTAATGTGCGCTTTTCAAGGTGTTTTATAAATCAGTGGTTCAAATAAAACAGAGAACATGAAAGAAAACAAACAAAACAGAAATTAATCGATTATTCGTTGGATTCGCTGTTTTCGATATATTGAATTCTAAATTACGATAAACATTTTAGGAATTTCTATTCTGTGACCTGGTTGTGAATAATATGATGAATCATTTTCGTAATCGTCATAAACGTAATGTTTTAGTTAATTTTCGGTGGTTTTTGTTAAGTTTTCATTGAACGGGTAAGTACTAAAAATAATTAATGTGATTTTTTTTCTATAATAATTATTAATAATGAGCACTGATAAAGATTAAATTTAACATCCTAATTTTTGAGTAGAAATTTGTCTATGAATTTATAAATGTAGAACTATGTAAAATGTTGATAACATAGGAGGTTGCAACACTGCAAGGTTTAGATACACCGTAGAGAAATCTCAGGTGAATAAACAAGTGGCACTAAAAAGTTTTTTCAAAAACAAGAAAATGTCAAGGAACATTTTAAATTTTCAACATTTTTTTTTCGCAAAAAAACCTCATAGGCGTGTTTCTGGGGTTGAACTATACTACCAGTTAAAATATTTGCACTTATTTCTGGGACACCCTGTATAAGGGAAGAACCATTGGGACGAGAGAAGAATTACAGAAGGCTACAGTTCGCCTAATAAATCGTTGTAACTCTGTGCGCAAAAGTTGTTTATTGTGTATTCAACAAGGGGGTGCTTAGTTTGAACATCTTTGATGATTTTTTTTTAGAAAACTATATTCGTCACTCAAAAAATACTTTTACGTACTTGTCTTTGTTTATTGTATCGATTTCAATTGTAATTACTAATACTAATATAGAATGTTAATTTTCCTTTTCAAAAGTCTTTAATTATGCAGATAAATAATAATATAGAATATTAAATTGCGATAAAAAATAATTAGGCAAATAGGCCAACACAAAATCAAGGCCCGCTTCGAATCAAAAACCTAATATTTCTCTCATTCTTAGAAATAGATGTCCATAATTTTAGATCATTGGAAAGGGTAAAACGCCAGCATTTTTTTAAGTTCATAGCCAAACTATGATTTCCATTTAAAAAATTATATTTTTTATTATTTCTGACAAAAACAGCAAGCATGGAAAAAAACTGACTACGCCACTGGATTGTGCCTAAAAAAGTGCCTTAATAACGCTTTTACAGAATTTTATTATTCCGCAAAATAAAAAAGTTATGGACAATTTTCAAAATGGTAAAAAATTCAATAAGACCCCGTATCTCAGTTGGCAGTGAAAATATCAACAGGCGGTTTAAGCCATTAATGCTCTATCTAGTCAGGAAATAGGTTTTCTCTGTTAAAACAGACCAATTTCGACCACCCTGTACAACGAACTAGTGGAAAGAAAAGACATTCCCTTTAAACGATTTTAAAATAAATATTGATAATATTATTGTGGCAATGAATACGTTATCAAAATTTGTTTGGAGGAAATCGAAACCAGAATGTTGTGGAATATCAATGTTACAGGAAATCGTAAAAAAGAACGATAATATTGGATTTGTTCAGTTTATTTAAATAATAATATTTAAACTGGGCGGTTACAATCAAGTTTAACTAAAGATATAAAACGTAAACAGATTAATTTAATTGCAATATAAATAATGATACAACATTAAAAGCTGTTAAGTCGCTTATAAACTAGGGCGGGTCAAAAAAATCGACTATTTTTCTTTCGCCTTTCAGTTTTCTATTTTTTCCTAATTATTAGAAAGAAAAATTCATATCTCGTCTCATATATTTGTAGGAAAATTAATTCTCTACAAAAAAGGTCTCTGACAATTTTTTTGTAAACCTCACCGTTCGAAAGTTATTGAAGGTTAAAGGCAGATTTCTTTTTTCTTATGAATTTTATAACTCGTTAACAAAAAATCATTATAATACACGAAAAATTCGCTGCTCTACAAAAATGTTTTTTATGCTCAGTCGATTAAATTAACGGTTTAAAAGATATTCATCGTCAAACTTCGATACACAATAATTTTAACAGTTTTTGATTAATAATTGGAACAATTCCAATTTATTTTATGAGTTTCTGGGATTTTTTTTCAAATTTAAGGTGCTGTCGTGATATGTACATCCTAGTACATCCTGTTACGTATATTGTTATTTAATATATTCGTTAAGTACTTTATCGTGAGTTTAAATTAGTGAACACACGGAATCCGTAACAATATTATAAGAATAATAAATTCTCGAACAGAGAACTTTTTTTTGTTTCACGACAGAAACTTAAATTGTAAAAACTTTCGATAAACACAATGCTGTAATTATTGTTAAAACCACTGGTGAATCTTCCAGTGTATATGCTAGAATCCGTCTTACCTGAGCGGTAAAATATTAGGCGTAGATGTAGCTTTAGGTATATAAACTTAGTAGACATTTTTCGAAAAACTTTCTATACTTAATACAGAGCGACACATTTTTGCTCGGTATGTGTAGACAGAGACTGCTATACTAAAGAAGTGACAGGAATGTATATCACTTGTCACTGTCATTTGTCAGAAACGAAATTATCTAGGTGTTTTATATAGTCGTAGGTCTTTATTATCGGCGTTACGAAACCGCCGTAAGATTCCCGTCCTCTGTATAAAATTCCGGCTCCCATTAAAGGTACGGCTGGCTTGGCGACCACCTCTTGAGCGTCGAAAAACGGAATCGCCGTCTGTGCCACATCCCTTTCGAAATCTGTGTGCGTAAACTCCAAGTACTGCCCGGAACTACCGAAATTTACCATGGAGGGCGGACCCGGTGATTTCGTAGGCACGTCGGCCTTTTTCAGATCGATTTTCGACCTGAAAAAAAGTTAGGTGTGCTAGGGATGTGTAAATGTATCGATTTATCAAAATATCGATATAGTATCGATGTATCAAAATATCGATATAGTATCGATATATCAAAATGTCGATATAGTATCGATATATCAAAATGTCGAAATAGTATCGATATATCAAAATGTCGATATAGTACCGATGTAACAAAATATCGATATAAAATCGATACATCCAAAATATCGATATGATATCGATACATCCAAATATCGATATAGTATCGATATTTCAGAATATCTAGTATCGATCTAATAAAATATCGATATAATAAAATTTTGAAATGCCAAAATATCGATATAGCACAAGGTCGATATAATATAGATATATCAAAATATCGATAATGTATCGATATATCAAAATATCGATATAGTATCGATGTCAAAGTATCGACATAGTACCGATCTAATAAAATAATGAAATACCAAAATATCGATATACTAAATATTGATATATCAAAATACATATCGATATACCAAAATATCGATACATCAAAATATCGATATAACAAAATGTCGGTATAACAAAATATCGATATAACAAAATATCAATATAACAAAGTATCAATATAACAAAATATCGATATAACAATATATCGATATAACAAAATATCGATAATAATAAAATATCGATATAGATTTTCTTACATGCTCGTAAATATGATTAGCCTCACCTCCTTTGGGTAGTTCCGTATACATCATGACCTTTCTTCTGCTCTACTGTACCATTGGCCCAATTGAACAAATTGAAATGGACCACAAAATAAATTCTTCCGTTTATTAAATTGAAGCGTACTCCTAGAATTTTTAAGTTAATATTGTGTTGGTTTGCAAAAAAAAGGAAAAATAATTCTTGGGAGTAATTTATAATTAATATCAAATATATTATAAGACTATAGCTAGTACCGCATTTACACAATGAGTGAAAAGTGAAGCCGAAGAAAAGAAATAGGAATATCAATCTTGCAAAAGTCTATTCTTTTCGTTCAACATGATGTTCGTGCGCAGGCGCCAAATAAAACGATCTGATTTGTCTACTTACTTACAACTCTAAATATTAATAACGTATAATATATTATTTTTTTATTGGTAATGGCAGTATTTCAACCTGTTATTTTCGATATTTATCATATCTATCCGTTTCTTGTTTTTGTTTAAATATGTCAGAGATTAAATTTAAATTTATAAGTAAAGGCGCGAATAGTCAGACGCTAAATTGATTTACGTGGTAGATGGAAACTTAGAAAACTACTTCTATTGGTTAGTATGAAATAAATCAACTAATCGCGAAGCACTTCTCGCGCTTGCGTAGTTCAAAGCTGTTGAACGAAAAGGACCGACTTGCGTGGATTTTGTATAGCTCCATCTCAAAAATGTGGCTTCAATGCCTTATAATATATTTGATTAATATCTAAACATGTCTTTGTTTTTAATATTTCCCTAGAAAACACGTGTCATATTTTTTTGATACTTTGAGCAAATTATTTTGTATGTCTTGAGCTTCATGGTTTAAAATTAAATAGTTTAGATATGAATCGTTATTGTTTTGTACTTTACCTGTTACGACATAACCTTCCATGGTTTCTTGTATATCATCTAAAGCCATACTTCTTTCTGAATAAGTCAGCATAAAATAGTCTTTTTTGTTGTATACCCCAGGATCTGTGATTTTGTAATCATCAACTGGTTTCCACCGTACTGTATTCTGATCGATCAAACCGTAGGGCAATAATTTACCTTCTTGGATTTGTATGTGAATGATTTTGTTCTTTTTTACCACTCTCACACCTGTGATAACTCTATAACAAGCTAGGTTATATCGTTTTGACTGAACAATCTATCTGAATCTTTACCTGTTATATTCTGTGTCTGCGTTGACAGATCTTAGACTTATGTATCTGTCAGATAACACGTGTTTATCGTCGCATATACACATGCAGTAGTGACATCGGACGAACCATCTAGTCCAACTTTTTATAGGCAATAAATGGCTGCAAAAGTTATTTTTGCCCAAAGTTCGTCCGCTCTTGTATTTGACAAATTCGTATTTTCTCAATGGCGAAGTCTGAAAAAAATGAATTTATAGTCCAGCTTCATCAAAAATATCGATAGATCAAAATATCGATAGGTCAAAAATCGATAATATCAAAGTATCGATAGGTCAAAATATCAATATATCAAAGATATCAATATATCAAAATATCGATATATCAAAAATATCAATATATCAAAATATCGATATATCAAAATATCGATATATCAAAATATCGATATATCAAAATATCGATATATCAAAATATCGATATATCAAAATATCGATATATCAAAATATCGATATATCAAAATATCGATATATCAAAATATCGATATATCAAAATATCGATATATCAAAATATCGATATATCAAAATATCGATATATCAAAATATCGATATATCAAAATATCGATATATCAATATATCGATATATCAAAATATCGATTTAACAAAATATCGATGTATCAAAATATTTCAAAATATCAATATAACAAAATGTCGATACATGAATTTATCGGTATGCCAAAATATCGATATATCAAAATATTTATTTAAAATATCGATATATCATACAATTTATCTTTGAATTTAAATGACAGACACAACTGACACTGTCATATATCTTCGCAGACAGACTAAATTCAAATTATATATTTGATGAAAAAAAATAATTTTTACCGATAGACAGACATCTGCGTTGGATTCGATAAAAATACATTCGTATATTCTTCCGTTGCACTGTCGTTCTTTTTGACAGAACAGGCTCGTGTGATCGTAACAGGTCTCTCTTTTGGTGGAATAATAATTGGAACAAGTGTTTCTGCAAGTTTTCGACGGACTCATGTCCGCCTCGTTCTGTATGTGGCCCTGAAGAAACAGCGTAAATTGTTCGAAGTTTTTACCTGAAAAAAAAACACACACAAATAATCTTATTAAATCAGGTATAGGACCTGTATATACGTTCATATTGTCTACATATATGTATAATGGTGTTTAAAAGCGGTATGTATGGTTTTATTTTTACCTTCTTTGAATCGTTTTGGATCACATTTCCAAATGTCGTTGGGCAAGGCGAAATCTAGAAAACTCACTGTACTTTTCACTCGTTTTTCGTATGCTTTTCTTGATATTTCCGCTTGCTTCAAAGCGTCATCTAAAAAAATGTACATAAAATACCGTATGATAGAATAAAAACGGCGTCAGCGATGGCTATGAAATGAAGATCGCTGTCATTTTACATGTAAAATTATATGGGGAATGTCATCGATCGTCATTTCCAAGCCAACTGGACGCCATTTTTTTTTCGATCATTCGGTATTTTAAGAGTAATGGTATATAAAACAACCCCAGAATACCCAAGTGGCAAAGGAGTACGATATGGAGACCCATAATGTTCATATTTATTGAAAAATTGATTAATGATGATATCTTGATATATAATGGATATCAAATATAGGTTAATATACCTTCTTGAAATAGTTTTTTAATAAAACAAGTAAACTGTTCCATGACATAAGCTTTCAGGTTAGCCAACGTGAAAACATTGTACAGGTTATAGCTGAGCTGTTGCGGTGACTGTTGGTAGTTCTTGCACCAAAAACTATTCCACAAAATCTAAAATATATTTTTTAAAACCTAAGCAACAAAAATCTAAGAAGTCGTTTATTCGTTATTTTTGTTAGTCTTTTTGTTCAATATTCCTTACCGCCGGTATTTGTATCATCAAAGTATCATTTTTAGTTCCATTTGCCAGAATTCCACTAATTTCAAAAATTCGCTCTATCGATACTTTCGTGCCGCTTTTTTTATTTCTCACATGGTATAATATACTGTCAAGGGATATATACTCGTGGTCCTCTAGCTTGGAAAGCAGACCTTTCTGATATTCCCTGAAACTTTCGTAGTTGTAATGAATAGCCTTCAATTCGGCGTACAAGTTTAGAAAAGCTGGTAAATGTGTCAAAGGTTCCAAGCTTTCAATTATGTCTTCGGGTACCTGGGGAAAATATTTAAAAATGGAAAAAATAGGATTTTTTTTATTAATATTCTTATTACCTGCTGTAATTTTTGATCATATTCGTAAAACCTCCTTACTAACGCAGTTTCATCATCTGTAGTGCTAGACCACAATTCCTTTTCAAGATCGTGGAAGTCCAGTCTCAGTTTATCGACTAAAAGAAACTTTTTCGAAGCTAAAACTTCGAAAGTCAATAAAGATAATATAAGCAACAGATTTAGTAACATCCTGTTGCTGGAATGTATATATTCACTTCACCACATCTGCTAGCAGACTGCCATGAACCTGGACACACGATAAACTCAAGCCCGATAAAGAATTTTATTGATACAGGGTGATATAATTTTTATTAGCAAGACTTCAGTCGGTAGAAAAAAATTATATCAACATGGAATCAAGTGCTTTTTAATGAAAAGATTATTGTTGTATAAGCTAAATTATTAGGCTATGAATACAGCTGCTGACTACTGCAAACTGTTGCTAGGATATTCTATTAATTTTAATTGTATTTTTTTAAACATTGGGGTGAATGATCGTAAATTTTTGTGTCTTGTTGCTCAAATCCAGTTTTTCAGCTAATTAAAACAGGACCATCCTGTATAAAAATTTATTAAGCGTACTTATTTATTTATTTATTTATACTTACACCATTTTAACATTGGCTTATTTAAGTTAAAGCGTAGCTAGGTATGGGGATTCACGTAAAAAACATATATACTACGACCTAAATTCTAAAGTTTTTCGACATATTTGATAAGAGATAAAGTAATATATTTACTCTGTAATCTATGCGGAGAATCTAAAAAACTGTCAAAAGAAAATATTGATACAGTGTGTCATATAAATAAGTGCAATAATTTAAGTGGCAGTCCTTTTTGGCAAAAAAAAATTGTTGTAAAATTTACATTTTTCTTGGCATTTTTGGGAAACAAAAAACTCTTTAGTTCTACAGGTTCATTCTCCTGAAATTTCTTGACGATGTATCGAAGCCTTGCAATGTTGCACCTCCTTATTTTTAATAAATATCTTTCCAAAAATCAATAAAATGAAAAATATACGAAATAATATACATGTACTGATTTCTTTCGAAAATCGACAACTATGAAACTACGAACCCTTCCCGGACACAAACGGTACATTGTGAGACAGGAAATTGTAGAGAGAAGCAAGCCCTATAACATAGGATACAACATTTTAATGAACAGTGCTTTCCATAAAATCAATAAAATGAAAAATATACGAAATAATATACATGTACTGATTTCTTTCGAAAATGACAACAATGAAACTATATCCTTCCCCGACACAAACGGTACATTGTGAGACAGGAAATTGTAGAGAGAAACAACCCCTATAACATAGGATACAACATTTTAATGAACAGTGCTTTCCATAAAATCAATAAAATGAAAAATATACGAAATAATATACATGTACTGATTTCTTTCGAAAATCGACAACAATGAAACTATGATCCCTTCCCCGACACAAACGGTACATTGTGAGACAGGAAATTGTAGAGAGAAACAAGCCCTATAACATAGGATACAACATTTTAATGAACAGTGCTTTCCATAAAATCAATAAAACTAAAAATATACGAAATTATATACATGTGCTTATTTCTTACATTGTGAAACAGGAAATTGTAGAGAGAAACAAGCCCTATAACATAGGATACAACATTTTAATGAACAGTACTTTCCATAAAATCATTAAAATGAAAAATATACGAAATAATATAAATGTACTGATTTCTTTCGAAAATCGACAACTATGAAACTATGAACTCTTCCTGGACACCAACGGCACATTGTGAAACAGGAAATTGTAGAGAGAAACAATCCCTATAACATAGGATACAACATTTTAATGAACAGTGCTTTCTATAAAAACAATAAAATGAAAAATATACGAAATAATATAAATGTACTGATTTCTTTCGAAAATCGACAGCTAGGAAACTATGAACTCTTCCCGGACACCAACGGTACATTGTGAAACAGGAAATTGTAGAGAGAAACAAGCCCTATAACCTATAACATAGGATACAACATTTTAAAAAACAAACATCTTAGAATTTCCTACCAAGTGATGTGATAATGACATTAAGAATGTTTCCAATAATTTTGACTGAAAAATGAAAAATAAAACAACACATTTACTTAAAAAAATAAATACTTATTTATTTGTAGCTACCATAGGCAGGACGAAATTCACTACACAACAAAGTTCAATATCAAAATCGGTATTAATATTACTTGGTAATATTAACAGTAACGAAAAAAACTTAAAAAAATTATTTGTAAGTACATTTTTAATGACTTTAAGGAAAAGCCGCGTTAAGGTACTTGCTGACGTCATAGGTGATGATTCTGGGCGTTATAAAACCACCAAAGTAGGGCCTGCCCTTGTGGAATATCCCTGCCCCAGAGAGAGGTACTGCTCGAACCGATTCCAGCTGAAATAAAAATAATTTAGTTAAAAATATGGTTAGACTAGATGATTTGGAGTAAGAATCGGTCTTAGAGTAAGATCCTGTGGTAGTATTTCGGTATTTATTAGTTTTTATATTCAACGATTTGATTAGATGTTGTTTTGTCCAAAAAGTACTTTATACAATTTTGTTTTGCTATGTTCTGTCGTTTTCTTTCATTATTTGTGTTTTAAAAGCTTCTGTAAATCTACTGTTAATAGAAATTAATGAATAAATTGAAATAAATTAATGAATAAATTAACGAATAAATTGATGAAAAAATTAGTAAATTTAACGAATAAATTAATATATTAATGAACAAATTAATTAATTAATGAATAAATAAATAAGTTAATGAATAAATTAATTAATTAACGAATGAATTAATAAATAAGTGAATAAATCTAATGAAATTACTCTGATTTAAGTGCCAGGACATAGAAAAATGTCAAAATTAATGAATTAACTCATTTTCTGAGGAGAAATGAGACTTTCTGAAAATGAGACCAATAATCCTTTATCGCAGGTACCGTAGACTTTCTTTAGTTTCACTAAAAGCCACTTGTTGAAATAGCTTCAGATGCCCATACAGGATAGAGTGAATAATAGAGATAATCTATTGATCGTGTAAACTAAATAATAATACCAATTTAATATGTCTACCTTTTGAGCATCAAGAAATGGTACTGCAGTTTGAGCCGCGTCTTTTTCGATGTCTGAATGGGTGAATTCGATGAACTGATTCGTTTTCGACGTTGGTACCGAAGATGCAGTCGTTTTAGTTGGTATGTCTGGCTGTGTCAAAGAAACTTTCGTCCTGGAACAGAAAATGAAACATTGATATATTCCTTTTCTGGCGCAGATGAAATCAATTTGAAGTTTGTTGAAGAATATACAGGGTGAGTCTTAAATAAGTGCAAATATTTTCAGGGCTGGTAGATCTCGATAAAAGAAACATATTTTCTCTTACGAAGTTTTGAAAATTATTTTTTTTTTTCTGTACTTGCATCCCTTTTAGTTCCGTAACTATAGTAATATCAGAGATTAAGAAATTATACCGTGGCAAATTTCTAAAATATACAGGAAAATTTATCTTTTTTGCGAAAAAAAACTCATAGAAGAAAATATTTGCACTTATTTAAAACTCGCCCTGTATAAAGACAGGAATTACCAAACATGTTTACCTAGGGTTTTTGCGCGAGATTTCTGTATTTGGATTGTCCTTCCACGTACTGTGTTCCGGTTTGAGCTTACCAGTGTCAAAGTCGAACTTGGTAGTGTATATTTCGAAGTTGAGATGCGTTCCGATCTCTTTAAATCTAACACCTGGAAAACAACAAAAAATTATAAAATATTTATTATGAATATTTGTATTTTCTGCTAATGATGTATTAGTTCTGTTTTCTTACCTGTCATAACGTATCCGTCATCTGCTTCCAAGTCGTCCAAATCGAGTGCTCTCTTCTCCCAAGTAAGTGTATGGAAGTCTTGCCCGTTAAATACTTTTCTGTCTGTTATTTTGTAGTCTTCTACAGGTTTCCACGTCACACTACTTGCATTTACATTAAGTCCAGGCAGTAGTTCACCTTCCTGAATCTGTAGATGTATGATACGGTTCTTTTTGACGAATCTCAGACCTGTGACCACCCTATAAGTAAAAGATATTATTTTTTGAAAGTTTTTATAGCTAAAATATTGTAATAAAAAAACTGTGAATGTAGTTTCCTTAGTTTTTTTTATTCTATGGAATAATATGAGTTCTTACTTATTGTTTTTGATGTCTGACAGAACGGATCTCATGTTGATGTATCTATCCGACATAATGCCGTGTTCATCGCACAGACAAAAGCAGTAGGAACATGACCAGATGAACCAACGCCAGAAACTGTCAACTTTGTCCAGTTTCCTGGGACAACTCTGTTTTTTTCCAAGTATTTTACCATTTTCGTACTCTATATATTCGTAACGTCTACCAGTTCGAGGGTTCTAAAAACATTAATATCTTTTACTCAAATATTTCTATTCTGTTTAAATTATATACAGGGTGAGTCTTAAATAAGTGTAAATATTCTTAGGGGTAGTATATTTCGACCCCAGAAACACGATTATGAGGTTTTTTCGCATTTTTTTTTAAATTATGATTTTTTTTAGGTCATAGTATGGTAAAAAATATAATTTCTTGTTAGTATGGCAACATAGGTAGTAGATTAAATTTACAAGAAAGAAAATCCAGAAAAGATTCTCAAAATTCAAGCAAAAAAATTTTTGGAAATTTTCAAAGTGAAAAAACTCGGTTATTTTGGGCTTATTTGAAAAACGGCATAGAGAACATATGTTTCTTTAAAAAAAAGACGTATATTTTCTATTTTTCATTTTTCAATTAAGTCCAAAACAGGCGAGATATTAAAGTTTAAAAAATTAACGAAACATTTTGAGAGCCGCCTGTTTATTCTTGTGTTTTCTTCCCTCCATAGGCGGCGTTAAAAAATATTTGCATTTATTTAAGCACGCCTATATTTTATCTATAGTTTTCAAATTTAAATTTATTCTAATTCTTCGAATTATTTTCTATTTTTAACCTTTCTTTGATAGTTTACTAATTACTATATTGATAAGTCAAAAAAAAATACAGAGAAAGTAGGTGACTTACAGCGTTACAAATCCACATATCGGAGTCAAAAAATTGACAGCTGACGATTCTTCCGTTACAGTTCCTTTGACGCATACAGTGATCGTTTTCGTGACATCCGTGATTCTTGGTGTAGGTGTATTCGGCACAATCTTCCCTACAAGTACCTTCCGAGTTAAGATCTATCTCGTTTTGAATGTAGCCTTGCAGAAAGTTTGTTATTTCTTCGTATGTTTCACCTGAATTTAAATAAAAACATTACTAAAATGTATCTGTAAAAATCCTCTATAAAAGAAACATTTTTTAGTGCTTATTACTAACCTTTTGTATAGATTTCTGGATCACAGTTCCATAACTCTCTACTGACATTTTTCATGACATTTTTGACTGTAAATACAACACTGTTCATTCGTTCTTGGAACTTTTCCTGGCTCAGTTCAGATTCTTTGGTGAAATTTCCTGAAAATTGTTGATTTGTTTTAGAAAATACCTATTTTTAGTTTTATGGTTCGAGTTATGCAACTATTATTACACCGAGTATTGTTGGTTGAATATCACACTAATCAGTGCAATTATTGATATATTTAGTACCTCGTCCATATAGCCTGAGTATCATGTAAGAAAACTGAACCATAGTGAAGCCTTTCAGTTCAGTAAGCACTATTGCGTCGTAGAGATTGTAGAGTACTTGCTGTGGACTTTGTTTGGTATCGCACATCATATCTCCCTCCGCTTCCTAAGGAGTTAAACCATTTTTATAGTTGAATTAAGCACCACACAATTTTACCCCATAAGTACTTACCTTGAGATAACTTTCTAATAATTTAAATAATCCAGTGTCGGTAATTCCATTACCGCTAGGTACCACGAAACTGTGCATCCTTTCCAGCAAGTGCACTATGGAATTTGGGTCGTGGGATATGACAGTTCTGGCAAAATCTTCCAGGGTCGATTGTTCGTAAGCGTGTTGGTGTAGGGCGTACTTTGTCATTCTGTCATAACCAGCGTTTATGCGGGCACGGTAGTCCAACAGATCGTGCAGTCTCATCTCTAATCGAAACGTTTCGTGTATGTTGTGCAATTTAGTGGTCAGTGATTGACTTGCTACAAAAATAAAATAAAATTGTTGTGTACTATGTGCGCTATTAAATTGAAGGATATATATATTTTTTATGAATGCTTTTTATACACTTCAAAAAAATTGGAGTTAATATAAAACCGAAAATAAGAATATTTTTATTGAAAAACGATAAATAATTCTATTACCCGGCCGGATAGCTGTGGCCCTTAAACCAAAATACTACTACATCTGTATCTCTGACTACTAAACAACAATTTGTTTTGTGTACCTAGTCTGTGGTCTGTTTTTGTTTAAATGTTTTGTTCATTATCCATGTAGGGGATTTATTTTTAAATTAATGTTAATCGTTAGGCAACCAGTATTTCTTTTAAATCGCTGTGTTTTTTAGACAGATGTCGCTTGTCATTATTCAATAATTCATTATTCGAATTCTCAAAATGTCGTTAACAAAAGTTTCATCTTAAAATAAATGTTGAATCAATCACAATTGTTTATCTGCATCATTTACCGGATTAATAAAACAGAAATTACAGCTCAGTTCCAAACAATTCATTATTTATAGTGATTTACAGTAATTTTATTAAATTATAGGAATATTCTCGTAAGGGGTAGATCTACTCCGAATTTTAGTGATTGCCCTCGTCAAAAATATCATCGACTGTCGTTCCTCAGGTGGCTTTGACGTCGTTTTTTTATATACGGTTTTACAGACTTTATATTGATAAGCCTTTTTTTTTCAATATTTGTAAATATAATTTTCAAAAATTATTATTGAAACTACATTGTAATCAAAATTGTTTTTAAAGTAGATTAAATTTGCGATAATAAATAAGTTTATCCATTGTAACAATTTAGCACATTTTTACATTTATGTTTATCGCGGTTTTTTTTTTTAATTATACAGGGTACGAGGTACGAGTACTTCAATGGTACTTACATTTTTTTTCTTGATAATCAGTTTAGATAGGACTAATTTTTTGCACCACGTCCCTTAGTTGCTACGCCACTGCAATCAGTGCTTATAAACTGGTAGATTAAATTTAATTTTTCTGTAGTACTTCAAAATATACAATATTATGCACATCGTCTATTTTGTAGTTTTAATCAGTTGTCTAGTAGGTACCTAATACTAATTACCAAGATACAGATTATTGATATTCTAGGTTTTCGAATGTCTATTGTTAATCCAATATACAGGGTGGTCCGAATTGTGTTCGGGAAACTTCGACAGAGCATATTCTGCCGATAAAAATAATTAAAAAAGATCGTATAAATGTATGTCCTAAAATGCTTTGTTTCGAAGATACAGGGTGTAGAAGTTTCATGTTTATTTCGATTTTTTCCAAATCATTTCTGAACTAACCTCGATATTTGGATGAAAATTGATGTTTTTTGACATGTGAAATTTGGTTTAGATGTCAATATGACTCCTACTTCTATAGGGAGCGCCACATGCATATTTTTTAACTGTTTTGAAGATTAAAACTTTTCGTCCGTTCCTGTATTATATTACCGAGTGATAAAATATACATTTCCGATGTTTTTTACGTAAAAAAAGGTCTCTTGGTAAAAATTGCTACGAGTAATGGATCTCGAGATATTCGGAATCGAAATAATCAATATATGTCAAGACTGACAGGTAAAATATTATGTATAAACGGCTATGATAAACGGTGCTTAAAAATAGTTACTGAGAGTACTGTTTCTTACCTATTAGGTCGATTTTTGACTCCAAATCGTTCAGCTGGTTGTGAATTTTATCAAAGTTCCCCAAAAGCTCCTTTTGTTTGCTCTCGAAAAATTTTTTGGGCAACTCACTGAGTTCAACGTCGCTATTGATCATAGTCCGTACTTTCAACAGGATATAAACCACACTCTTGGTTTGTTTTATACAGTCCACAACTTTGGCAGAACAGACAGTGCAAGCACATTGCAAACACAAGGCCATTGCCAAGAACACTAACATTTTTGACGTAGACATTTTGGGTGTCTTTGACAGCCAAAAGACTTGATTTTTTCACTTGAATATAGAAACAAAAATACCTCGCGCGCTGACTTGCTTCTGTGTCTAGCGAATGTATAGATAAGGTTTGTTTATATATTTATTTATATATGATAAAATAATACATTATTTAATATAAGTGCATGTGAGCAGTAGCGGCTCCTGGTAAAAGTTACAAAAGTGTTCATTTTTGCGACGTGATTGACAATATAAAAGTCATTTTTTTCCATAGCAACTGTAAAATTGCCTTACATCATGGACAAACAAATAAAAAGAGACTGACAAATCTCATGGTAAAGAGTGGGACCGCGTTCCCGTAGTGCAACTCAGAATAACAATTTTGAAACCAATTAGCAGGACCATGGCAGGACGTACGTCTTTATTGCTATCTTTCTTTATTATGTGTGTTTTATATGAAAAAGAAAGAGATGGGTATAAAACGTATCGTAAGACATTATCGCTGGCGGGAAATTTAAATTAGCCATTATTAGTAGTATTCTTTCATTCTGAAACTGAAAATTTTCACTTAAACTGATTTATTCCCTATACCACGTAAAGGGAACGTGGTGTAGGGAATAAATCAGTTTAAGTGAAAATTTGCAGTTTCTTTCAGAACGAAAGAATAAGAAGAAATTATAAAAAAAAAGCAAAAATTGTACTGTTTTATAAACATATTTATTTATACATAAAAATAAATAAACTTTTTATAATATAATAACAAAAAATAACAGTGTTTATTCCACCCACCTACCAATTTTAAATGCAGAAGAACTGACTGTTGCATGAAACGATCGGCCAATTTTTTTAAAGGGCATTAAAAATCTCATTTTCGAAAAAACTGCCTAATAACAAAGTGAATATCCAAGCAAAGAAGACTTTACTAGAATCATGATCCTGAACCATTTTCAAGTCTAGTTTTAATCCTAAAACAAAAGTAAAATAGGTATATTAATAGAGTTTGTGGTTACTATAAACCAGCTATAAACTACCTACCCAAAAAATGAAAAAAATTAATTGTATTAATTTGTTATGTTAAGAGAAGTTCGAAATATTTTTGACACTACTACTTCTACTTTTTTCTTAATAAGATGATAAATATAACTACTTACTTTTATTTTACCGGGTGTCTTTAACATATCTATCAGAGAAAGGGGGCACCAATACATATAAAAAATAGATGATACTGGTTCCTGCAGCAAATAAAATAACAAATAGTATAACCTAAAATTATAAGTAACAAAATATAAATACCTATATGGAACAAAGGAATCTGTTCCCTATCCATATTCATAAGTCAATAAAATGGAGAGTTTAGAAAAAAAGGTAAATCACCAAAAGAAAAATCTTAGAAAAATTAACAAACATGACGAATTGTCATGATGTTGTCATCTTGGTTGTCATGATGACGAAAACGAAAGGCGATTGTTCTAATTTCTATTTAGAAATTACGGTTTGTATGGCTGCTTCTTTCTCTCTTGTTATATTAGAATGAGATAGTGGGCCCAATAGTCGCAATGCGCAGATCAACATAAATAGAACGAAATTTTGCGTTCTGAGTTGCGCTATGGGAACGTTGTCCCTCTCTTTGCCATTTAATTTGCCAGTCTCTTTTTATTTGTTTGTCTATGCCTTACATCTATCAAAAATAGTAGATAAAATAGTACTTTAACCGCACGAGGATAGGTTAAAAACTTTATTTCTTCTCGCACGTTTTTTAATTGCTTCCATTTTTAAAAATTTTTGTATTCCTTTTCATAAGTTATTCGGGATTTTTTAAATGGAAGTAGTTTGGATAGGGCGTTTGTCGCTTTAGTCTGAATATATTTAAGGACAATACATTTTAGTAGACGTATTTTTGATTAATAAAATAAGATACTTTATTTTATCTATCCACTCTTATTTTTTTTTTTTCGAAGGTTGTGTACCCCCAAGTTTTGATGTGTGCGCCACCACTGAGGTCTTAGAAATCGTCTAAATTATTTTCCCGCCTTGTTTATGTAGATCTAAACAGGGACTCCCCATTTCCACCTTTTTTTGTCTACTAACTTTGTTATTTACATTGATTGTATATATCGCTTTATTTTTATTTTATTTATTTTTTTTTTCGTTTTTTTAGCCACTTATGTTTGGTAAATATTATTTATTTACCTACTATATTTAGATAACTAAAGAGAAAGTCTACTAAACATAAAGTCAAAAATAGTTCGTTATTTTCCAAAAAAAAAGAGGAAGGATTGTGTTTATGGTAGCCGATAATAAAGATATTTCAACCAAATTTGATATAAAAAATCTACTTTGTCATTTATTAATCCGATAATTTTGATTGTAAATTGAAAAGCAAAACCATAAATTTAGTTGGTATTTATCCATTTATTTTTTTGGATTTACAAATTGAGATTTTGAAACTTGACATTAACAAAATCAAAAAAAAAATATTTGCTTCAATAATTAAACAACAGTAAAAAATATGATTTCATCCGAGGTAATCAAAACTAAACAATATATTCGATCAATACTGATAGTTCTACATATTTCCTATATTTTATCTTAAATCAATGTTGGGTTTTTCGTCGCCCTCGAGAAAAGCGGCCTTAAGGTACTTGCTGACGTCAAAAGTGATGATTCTGGGCGTTATAAAACCTCCAAATGAGTTCCTGCCCTTGTGGAATATTCCTGCTCCAGTTAGAGGCACTGCTTGAAGCGATTCCAGCTGGAATACAAGAAATTCAGTTAGAAATATGGTTAGACTAGATGATTTAGAGTAATAATTGGTCTTAGAGAATGATCTTGTAGTTATATTTCGGTATTTATTAGTTAGAATTATAAATCACCAATAAGAGTGATTTTAAGAACAAGATATATTAGCCTCAGGTGTCCAAACACTACTTTATACATGGTTTTTTGCTCTTTTTTGTAATTTTCTTCTAATTAAATTTACTGTTGAAAAAGCGACTTTCAATTGAGTGCCAGGACATGTTGAAATGTCAAAATCAACGAATTTGGTCATTTTCTTACAAAAAATGAAGCTAATTCTTCATCAAAGACCAAAACCATTCTTTGGTTTCATTAAAAGCCACTTAAATGCTGCTTTAAATAACCCTTGTGTACACAGGGAAAACCAGGTTCTAAGGTTTTCCAACCAGATGATTTTTTTCCTGGAGTATCAACTGAAGTAGACCATAATATCTCTTTTGCTTCTTCATTATGTGTCCCAGATATTCGGATTTTGAGTTGTTTCACTATTTCGTTCTCTCTCCTTTTGAAGCATTTCTAAAACTGTCTTGTTGGGTACGTGGTCTACCCAGGGGATTCTAAGAATTTGTGGACGCTTCTGCCAATGTTCAGGACACATACCAGACATTACATTTCAATAGTCTTAGTTTCCACTAAAGAGTTTAAAATGCTTCAATAGGATAGAGAGTAATAGAGATGATCTACTGATCTTTTGTAATTTGTAATACTAATTTAATCTATCTACCTTTTGAGCATCGAAAAATGGCACTGTGGTTTGAGCTGCGTCCTTCATAATGTCTGAATGCGTGAATTCGATGTATTGGTCAGTTTTTGAAGTTGGTACGGAAGGTGCAGTGGTTCTAGTGGGTATATCGGGTTGTTTCAGGTAAACTCTGGTCCTAAAACACAAAAAAAAGACATTTTTTACCGAGCTTCATGTTATTTTTGTTCAGGTTTATGAAAAATAGTTTTAAGGTTAGTTAAAGGATGATTGGCTAGCTCTATGGAAAGACAAATGCTAGATATAAGGTTGGCAGATAGAAAAAGGAATGAGTGGATCAGAGGAAAAACTAAAGTAAGGGATGTTAGCAGTGAAGTAGCAAAATTGCCGGAAGTTTGCCGGTCACAATGTCAGACAGAAGGATGATCGATGGAACAAATGCATCGTAAACTGGAGGCCCTGGGAGAATAGAAGAAGTAGAGGAAGACCCCAGATGAGATGGGCGGACGATCTGAGGAAACATGCAGGCACAAGATGGATGAGCACGGCGACAGAGAGGGAAGAGTGGAAGAGATTGGGGGAGGCCTATGTCCAACGATGGACCGAAGAGGCTGAATAGATAGATAGATAGAAAGGATGGTTTTTAGTGAATCATATTTACCTAGGTTTTTTAGGTGAGACATCAGTATTGGGATTGTCCTTCCACGTGCTGTGTTCAGGTTTGAGCTTGCCAGTATCGAAATCGAACTTGGTGGTGTATATTTCGAAGTTCAGATGCGTTCCAATCTCTTTAAATCGAACACCTGGAAAACAACAAAGATTATAAAACATTTATTATTTTTATTTGTGTTTACTGCTAGGAATATATTAATTCCGTTACTTTACCTGTCATGACGTAACCGTCATCTGCTTCCAAGTCGTCCAAATCTAGTATTCTCTTTTCCCAACTAAGTGTGTGGTAGTCCTGTCCATTGAAGACTTTCCTGTCTGTTATTTTATAGTCATCCACGGGTTTCCAACTCAGACTACTCGCATTTATGTTAATCTAGGCAGTAGTTCACCTTCCTGAATCTGTAGGTGTATGATACGGTTCTTTTGACGAATCTTAGGCCTGTGACCACCCTAGAAGTAAAGGTTTGTTAATAAAAATTCTATAGACAAAAATGAGTTCTTACTTATTGTTCTCGACGTCTGACAGAACGGATCTCATGTTGATGTATCTGTCCGACATGGGTCCTTGTTCGTCGCACAGACAGAAGCAGTAGGAACAGTGCCAGAATAACCAGCGCCACCAGCTGTCAACCTTGGTGGTTCCCCTGGGCATCCTTTGGTCTCTTCCTAGTACTCTACCGTTTTCGTACTTGATGTATTCGTAACGTCGACCAGACTTTGGGCTCTAAAATCATCAGTACCTTTTGTTCAAATATATTTTTTGTGTTGCATGTTTTCGCAAGTTAAGGAAACATTTTGAGGGTCGCCGTTTTTTTCGTGATTTTTCTTACTTTCATAGGCGGGTTAAAAAATATTTACACATACATAAAAAGACAATTTCAAAATATATATAGGTATATTATGACTTACTGCATTGCAAATCCACATGTCGGAATCGAAAAATTGACAATTGACTATTTTTCCGTTGCAGT